CCAATGCTTCCACATCCTTCCTATAATGCGGAGACCAGAACTGTACGCAATACTCCAAGTGCGGCCGCACTCAACATGACCTCATGGCTCCGAAACTCAATCCCTCTACCAATAAAACCTAACATACCGTACACCTTCTTAACAACCCTATCAACCTGGGTGGCAACTTTCAGTGATCTATGCACATGGACACCAAGATCTCTCTGCTCATCCACACTACCAAGAATCTTACCATTAGCCCTGTACTCTGTATTCCTGTTACTCCTTCCAAAGTGAATCACCTCAGACTTTTCCGCATTAAACTCCATTTGCCACCTCTCAGCCCAGCTCTGCAGCTTATCTATGTCCCTCTGTAACCTACAACATCCTTCTGCACTATCCACAACTCCACCGACTTTGGTGTCATCCGCAAATTTACTAACCCACCCTTCTACGCCCTCATCCAGGTCATTTATAAAAATGGCAAACAGCAGTGGCCCCAAAACAGATCCTCGCGGTACACCACTAGTAACTGAACTCCAGGATGAACATTTCCCATCAACCACCACCCTCTGTCTTCTTACAGTTAGCCAATTTCTGATCCAAACCACTAAATCACCCTCAATCCCATGCCTCCGTATTTTCTGCAATAGCCTACCGTGGGGAATCTTATCAAACGCTTTACTGAAATCCATATACACCACATCAACCGCTTTACCCTCATCCACCTGTTTGGTCACCTTCTCAAAGAACTCAATAAGGTTTGTGAGGCACGACCTACCCTTCACAAAACCGTGTTGACTATCCCTAATCAAATTATTCCTTTCTAGATGATTATAAATCCTATCTCTTATAATCCTTTCCCCACAACCGAAGTAAGGCTCACTGGTCTATAATTACTAGGGTTGTCTCTACTCCCCTTCTTGAACAAGGGGACAACATTTGCTAGTCTCCAGTCTTCTGGCACTATTCCTGAAGACAATGACGACATAAAGATCAAAGCCAAAGGCTCTGCAATCTCCTCCCTAGCTTCCCAGAGAATCCTAGGATAAATCTGATCCGGCCCAGGGGACTTATCTATTTTCACACTTTCCAGAATTGCTAACACCTCCTCCTTATGAACCTCAATCCTGTCTAGTCTAATAGCCTGTATCTCAGTATTCTCCTCGACAACATTGTCTTTTTCCTGTGTGAATACAGACGAAAAATATTCATTTAGCGCCCCTCCTATATCTTCGGACTCCACGCACAACTTCCCACTACTGTCCTTGACTGGCCCTAATCTTACTCTGGTCATTCTTTTATTCCTGACATACAACAGCAACAATTAATTTTTTTTTGTTCATTCACGGGAAGAGGGCGTCACTGGCCAGGCAGCATTTATTGCCCATCCCTAATTGCCCAGAGGGCAGCTAAGAGTCAACCACATTGCTGTGGGTCTGGAATCACATGTAGGCCAGACCAGGTAAGGATGGCAGTTTCCTTCCCTAAAGGACATTAGTGAACCAGATGGGTTAGTTTATGATTATGTTAGATGGGTTAGTTTATGATTCATTTATTGCTCAACAAAGTATCCAGAGTCTGTTTTGGTCTATTGTCGTAACACATTCTTTAAGATGGTGAAAGTAGATGACTCTTTAGGTATAGAGATTATTGTGAGCTGATACATTAAGGACTGCCGTGTTAATAAAAAAAAGTTACAGTAACATATAATTTTCAATGAGTAATAATTACCTGTACCCTATGTATTTAATCCACTTGTGGTTAGTATAGCATTGTTGTGACCATGGTGCATTAAAGTTATCTGGAAAATTAATTAATGATTTTGAAAATAAATCAGAACTTCAGTTTCTTAACAGATTCTAGTCTACATAGTAGGGTTGTACTGGCATGGAAAACCACAACAGTGTGTTCTGGAAAAATTAGCAAATTCAATATTAGAAAGGCTAAACGTCCTAAATATTAAATAAAAACTAAAAGAACTGCGGATGCTGTAAATCAGGAACAAAAACAAAGTTGCTGGAAAAGCTCCGCAGGTCTGGCAGCATCTGTGAAGGTAAAAAACAGAGCTAACGTTTTGAATCCGGTGAAGTTAACTCTGTTTTTTCCATCAGCGATGCAGCCAGACCTGCTGAGCTTTTCCAGCAACTTTGTTTTTGGTCCTAAATATTAACCTGGGGCTACACAGTATCACTAGAAGGAGTTGGGAGATGAATGTGCACATATTCACCTCTGTATTACCTCCTAGGCTCAAACAGAGACATTCTACAGCTTGTCTAAGTTACAAGTTTTGAGCTTTATCACCAAAAATATAAATCTCACATTTAGAAAACCATTGTAGCTACCATGAAGAAATATGATTATTATATTTTCAATACAATCAAGGATTTAATGATTGAAATCATTTCTATATGTAGGCAAATAGAAGCTTAATAACTTAAATTCTGTTTCAGCAGGAAAATACGTAAATTGATAGTTTCAGCAGTTAAAAAGTTTACTTGATTAATTTGGGCTGGGGGGAAGAGAACCTCATTCAATGTTTTCACAGATTTCAACTCAGGATACCTGTTAGAGTCAGAATGGATGTTCAGATGTTTGTGACATCTTTGCCTTCCAGGATAAGCTCAGGTAGAATGGGCACTGCTCAAGGCCAAAATTGGTAGACGTAGACTCTTTCATGAGTTATTGTACTTGGTGAAAAATGTGTTCATCCAAGGTTGGATGTTGGAATACACAAAGGCAACAACTGAGTGATTGAGAAGAGTCACATATGATGTTACAGCAAATACATGCACAGAGTTGGGTGCTAACTAACCATTCATAACGATGCAGAGAGCAAGAAAGTTGGTGATCGGACCACAAAAGTTAGTGCAGTTCCTTTCAAAGGCTGCTGGATTTTGAGGGGAAAGGTACTGACTGTTGTGATGAGAAAAGTGAGTGTGAAAAGGCTTTAAATAGTACCTAAGAAGAGGGAGCCAGATGTTAAACAGTATGGAGCTAGAAAAGGGAAAAATGGTGGTCATCAGTGGCAAGAGATGGTACGTGGGTCTCATGAATCAGGAGAGCTCATTGGGGACATGTGGGAAACAGGAGAGATAGTCGAGATAACTGTGAATTTAGGATTCAGTCAAATGAGAGCTTAGTTAAAGATGTAGAGCTGGATGAACACAGCAGGCCAAGCAGCATCATAGGAGCAGGAAGGCTGACGTTTCGGGCCTAGACCCTTCATCAGAAATGGGGGAGGGGAAGGGAGTTCTGAAATAAATAGGGAGAGAGGGGGAGGCGGATAGAAGATGGATAGAGGAGAAGATAGGTGGAGAGGAAACAGACCGGTCAAAGAGGCGGGGATGGAGCCAGTAAAGGTGAGTGTAGGTGTGGAGGTAGGGAGGAGATAGGTCAGTCCAGGGAGGACGGGCAGGTCAAGGGGGCGGGATGAGGTTAGTAGGTAGGAGCTGGGAGTGCGGCTTGAGGTGGTAGGAGGGGATAGGTGGGTGGAAGAACAGGTTAGGGAGGCGGGGATGAGCTGGGCTGGTTTTGGGATGCGGTAGGGGGAGGGGAGATTTTGAAGCTTGTGAATTTCAACTCCCCCCTCCCATTCCTCAGACGACGTGTCCATCCTGGGCCTCCTGCAATGCCACAACGATGCCACCCGAAGGTTGCAGGAACAGCAACTCATATTCCGCTTGGGAACCCTGCAGCCCAATGATATCAATGTGGATTTCACAAGCTTCAAAATCTCCCCTCCCCCTACCGCATCCCAAAACCAGCTCAGCTCGTCCCCGCCTCCCTAACCTGTTCTTCCACCCACCTATCCCCTCCTCCCACCTCAAGCCGCACCCCCATTTCCTACTTACTAACCTCATCCCGCCCCCTTGACCTGTCCGTCCTCCCTGGACTGACCTATCTCCTCCCTACCTCCCCACCTACACTCACCTTTACTGGCTCCCTCCCCGCCTCTTTGACCGATCTGTTTCCTCTCCACCTATCTTCTCCTCTATTCATCTTCTTTCCGCCTCCCCCTCTCTCCCTATTTATTTCAGAACCCCCTTCCCCTCCCCCATTTCTGATGAAGGGTCTAGGCCCGAAACATCAGCCTTCCTGCTGCTTGGCCTGCTGTGTTCATCCAGCTCTACACCTTGTTATCTCAGATTCTCCAGCATCTGCAGTTCCTACTATCTCTTAGTTAAAGATGTGCTGGTTAGGTGGATTGGACATGCTAAAATGTCCATAGTATCCACGGGTGTGCAGGATAGGTGAAATAGCCATGGGGAATGCAGGGTTACGGAGATAGAGTAGGGGAGTGGGTCTGGGTGGGATGCTTCCACACTGTACCGATTCTATGATTCCATGATTCAGGTAAGACTTGGCTTGGAGGGCAAAAGGAAGAGACAGCAGAAGGAAAGGTAACTTTTCAATGACAAAGATAACTATGAGCTCTTCACATATTCAAGTGGAAGAGGGTTATATAAAGATGATTTGTGACAGGGAAAAGAAGCATAGTGCTATCCTTGCTGTCCAGAATAATCTTGGAGTAATGTGAGCTTTAGGCAGAGGAGAATGAGGCCTAATGGGTTTTTAAATGTCCAAACAGATCTCAAAATGGATGACTGTTTTGACTTCTAGATGCACTCTGATCAGTGCCCCATTGACATCAGTGAGCAAATTCGGATGGGAATAACTGTTTTACCGAGGCTAAGGATGGGACCGCTGATGAACTTTTCAGATTTGTCCCAGAAAAGCATTGAGTATAGTTGTCAGTTTATCCAATGTGCTTTCAAGGCTCAGTACCAGAAGGGAAAGAAGAAGGAAGCCAGTGGAGTACTAATTAATAGGAATAGCTATTAGAGGGTGGGGCTAATTATTTGTAAAATGAAAAATAAAAGACGAGAGAAAAGGAGGAGACATTGGAGCCCAAGTGACAACAATATTTCTATCCAAAATGTGTAGGATAGTGCAAATGTAACATTACAAAAAATTTTAGAAGTTGACCATAATGCTGATTATCCCTTGTGTTTTAACAGAAGAACAGCTGCCTCATGGATTCCCCACCATTGACATGGGTCCACAGCTGAAAGTGGTGGAACGTACTCGCACAGCTACAATGCTCTGTGCTGCCAGTGGGAATCCAGATCCTGAAATCACATGGTTTAAGGACTTCTTGCCAGTGGACACCAGCAACAGCAATGGGCGAATTAAGCAACTCAGATCAGGTAAGATGTTTCCTAACAACTATTTATTGATCAGTTTGCTTAAGTGGAGGTTGGTGTTTTAGTGTAAAACTAAATATCTGATTTTGAGCATTATTTCTTTATTGCATTTAATATTGTTGTGCAATCGCTGTTGATTTTTTGAAGTACAGATAATTAGTTTTGGCCATTTTTACTGTCCACACACTTGATTGGTTTACTAGATAAGTCATTAAGGTATATCCAGTGATGCCATCATTTCATTCCTTTTCCACTTGAAGTGAGCAGAGCTGAAACATTCCTTATGAAATTTCTCGAAACAATGGGGAAGTATGGTTGAGTCTGATTTGCCTCCTCTGTAGCTGATACATGGTGGTAATCAGTAATGACATAATTGAATTTTGACAATGAGAATTAAGACCTGCTAATCCAATAATTTATTGCCTTATTATATTTCCCCAAAACTTAAAGAGTAGTAGGAAACTTACAGAGTGATAGGTGTATATATATTACGTACTTTGTGGAAGTACAGTTGACGCAAGAAGAAATCTATCACTGTTTTGACTTTCCTATGGAAGACATTCAGAAATGTGTGCCTAATTTGGAGGATATGCTCTGTTCCTGTTGGAGTATTTCCATATCTCACTTACAAAATGAGGAGTGTTTAAGTGCATATTGGCAGAGCCAATTCTTTGGGAGACCACACTTCTCACGAACCAGTTGTGCATGGATGTAAATGTTATGGATCAGCTAGAACCATGTGGCTTAACATTCAGAATTTTAGACTAAGTATTATCTGGAATGGGATGTGTCTTATCTCTAATGATAGAGTCCATTCATGAGCAAGGCTGGCTTTTCAACCACCATAAAACATTGCCCAGCCCAAGTATTTAACAACTAAATTTGCTGTAAAGAGTTGATTTGTTTCCTATTGCTAAGCTATGTTGTTCAAATCTCCTTGACTCTGAAAGAACTCTTGGCTTCCTTTTTCTTCTCATTGTCTTCAAGAAGGATTGTTCTGTGCTATTACAAATAGTGACTGGAAATGTAATGCCGTTTCTAAGCATTTCTATTGAAAGACATGTATTTCCATTTGTGGGGAAGAGGAAAACTAGAGACTATCAACATGACAGAAAAAAGACAGGTATTTCCATTTGTGGGGAAGGGGAAAACTAGAGACTATCAACGTGACAGAAACACCAAGAGCTTAGACTGGGAGTTTAGAAGAAGTGCCTTTACCAGGAGGTGCAGCTATTTTCAGTTCCTTCATCAAATACCTTCAGTCGAACAGAAGGTCAGAGGCAGGAACGTTCACTGATGATTGCCCAAGTATTCAGTATCATTGATGACTCCTCGGATACTGAAGCAATCTCTTTTCCATATACAGCAAGATCTTGACAACATTCAGGCCTAGTCTGATAAGTAAAGTAACATTCATGCCACACAAGTGCTAGACAATGACCATTACACCAAAAGGGAATCTAATATTCTAATAGTCTTCACTTGACATTCAACAACATTAGCATTGCTGAACTCCCTCGCTGTCAACATCTTGAAGTGCTTTTGGTACTTGTACCAGGTGCTTTACATCTATGTCTGCTTGTTCTCAATCCTGTCATGAGTGGGAACAGTTTCTCTTTATCTACATTTACAGGCTCCTCATGATTTTGAAAGGCTTTATCAGATCTCTTCTCAATAATCTCTTCTCTAAGGAAACCAGGCCTAACTTCTTCAATCTGTCTTAACGCAATATATCTGAATGAATCATAAATGAAGTATCTAATCCTTAGAACCAATCTTACAAATCTTTTCTGATTTCTTTCCAATTCTTTCATATTCTCCCTGAAGTGCAGCCCAGCCCACAGAAGTGGTTGCACATTCCAGCTGAGGCTGAAATAGTGTCTTATCTATATTCAATGTAGCTTCCTGCTTTTGTACCCTGTGCTCCTATCAGTAAACCTTAGGACACTATTTGCCTCATTAACAGCACTCTCAGTCTTCCTGTCAGCTTCATATTTACAATCAATGTTAAACACCAGAAATTAAAAGATTGACTAGATAGAGTCTAAGCATATATTTCCCTCTTCAGGGTTTTATTTCAAATTGCAAATCATAAAACTTCAATCCACCTTCACCTGTTTGCCATATATGTATTTTGTAATCAACCTTTTCAGAAATATTATGAGATGCCCCCCCCGGCCCCGATGCTATGAACACTGCTATTTGCCACAGGACCCCATGTTCCCTATGTGTATACACCTAGTTTTCATTAGTTTTCATTTTCACCTAGATTATCCCTTAATCAACATGTAACAATCTTCTATTGCCTAGTTCCATTTGGTCTCAGGCATCCTACCTGGACCCTGCTAAATGATTCATCTAAACTTGAAACGTTAGCTTGCTTTCTCTCCATGGATGCTGCCTTACCTGCTGTGATCTCCAGCATTTTTTTTGTTTTCAGTTCAGATTCCAGCATCTGCTCCTGCTAAATGATTACTCCCAGGTCCATCCGCTCCAATGTTTCCTTTAGAGTTCTACCCTTTATTTTATAATGCCTTTCCATGTTCTTCCGATGAAAATGAATCACCACTTTTCTCTGCATTAAACTTCATTTGCCACCTGTCTGCCCATTCCATCAACTTACTTAAGTCATTTTAAATTTCTGCACCAGCCTGCTCACAGTTTATAATGCATCCAAGTTTCATATCATCCACCAACTTTAAAATTGTGCTCTGTATACCAAGTTTTAAAGTATTCACATATACGTCAGGAAAAGCAAGGGTCCCAACACTGACTTGTAGGACATGTCGCTATAACCTTTCTTCCAAAAAATATTCACCAGCAACTACTTTCTGTTTCCTGTAACTCAGCTAATTTTGTAAACATAAAAACAAGGAAATTAGGAGCTGGAGTAGGCCATACAGTCCTTTGAGCCTTTTCTGTCATTAAAAATGATCACGGTTCATCCATTACCTCAATTTTATATTCCTACTTTCTCCCCATACCACTTGATGCCCTTAAAATGTAAAAATTTACTTACCTCCTTCTTCGCTTTATTCAGTGACTTGGCCTCCACAGCTTCTGTGGTAGAGAATTCCACAGGTTCATAACGCTTCCAGTGAAAAATGTTTTCCTCGTCTCTGCCCTCAATGGTCTACCCCATATCTTAAGACTATGACCCTTGTTTCTAGACTCCTCAACCAGGGAAGTTATCCTTCCTGCATTTAGCCTGTCCAGCCCTGTCAAAATTTTACACGTTTCAATCAGATCTTCTCTCATTCTTGTAAACCCTCATGAATACAGGCCTAGTTGAATTTTCTGGTGATACACAACCCATTTCACCTTCAACGACAGCATATACACACAAATCAATGGAACACCAATGGGATCCCAAAATCAGGACTGATTGCAGAAGCAGTAACGCAAAGGTTAGAATAGACAGCGCTCCCCACTGTACAATCCAAACTTTGGGTCCAATTTGTAGATGACGCCTTCGTGATTATCAAATGCACTAAACTAGAACAAACCCACTGACACATAAACAACATCTTTACCCGGACAAAATTCACAAAAGAAGAAGAAAACAACAACCAATGACCCTGGTGTAGAGCTGGATGAACACAGCAGGCCAAGCAACGTCAGAGGAGCAGGAAGGCTAACGTTTTGGGCCTAGACCCTTCTTCAGAAATGGCCCTTCCTGGACATAATGATAGAACGCAAAAACAACAGGAAACTCCAGACAAGTGTATATAGAAAGACCACACACACGGACCAGATACTCAATTACAGTAGCAACCACCTCAACGCCCACAAACGGAGCTGCATCAGGACATGACTTAACTGAACCACAACACATTGCAACAACCTGGAACTACACAGAGCAGAACAGGAGCACCTATACAGAGTTTTCAGAAAGAATGGATACCTGAAAAACACAAACCGCCACTACCTCCGAGACAGACCACAACAGGAAAACAACACGACCAGACTCACTAATCACCCAACTGTACATCAAGGACATTTCAGAGATGACCACAAGACTACTCAGACCCCTAGGTATCAGAGTAGCCCACAAGCCAACAACCACCCTACGTCAGCTACTGAAGAACGCAAAGAAACCCATACCCAAAACCAGCAAAACTGGTGTAATATACAAAGTACTATACAAGGACTGTGAGAAACACTAGATAGGCCAAACTGGAAGAAAACTGACAATACTGATACATGAACACCAACTAGCCACCAAGAGACATGACCAATTCTCACTTCTCTCACTACACACGGACAACGAGGGACATGAATTTGACTGGGACAACACATCCATAATTGCACAAGCCAAACAGAGACACTCCAGGGAATTCCTGGAGGACTGGTATTCTGACCGGAACTCCATCAACAAACACATTGAATTAGATCCTGTGTCAAACCACTGAGAAACAGAACCAGAAGTGGTACCAAACACCCCAACAAACTGAGGCATATAAAAAACAAGCGGGACAGAACACTAACGCTTCGCAGGAGGGGCACTGACAATGTTACCTAGCAGGATGACGAAACATTTGCAACCAAACCCACCTGCTCGGCGAGCATGTCTACAACCTCATGCATTCCACATTGGATCAATGTTGTGATGTCAGGGTGAGAGATGTACTTGGCCATTAGGTTACTGATCATGAAGAAATACATTCTGCTGATGCTGATGGCCTCCGTCATCTCATCCATTGTGCTGGCAAAACTGTTATGAATCTATATCATTTAGCAGGGTAGCAGTGTCATGGAAGATGCCCTTGATATGAAGAAAGGGCCTGGATTCGACAAGAACCATGCCTTGGTCGATCTCACCAGTACCATCATAGTTACAGATGCATTTGCATTTGGTGAGGGCAAGATTAGAAAGGTTTTTAGCATCTGTTTCTGATGAGGAGGACTTTGCAGGGTTAACTGTGTTGATGTCAGTCACTCAATGCTGTTCCATTCTTAATCTTGTACCAATTTGCTATAACTGTCCAGCTAGCTAGGCTTTT